TGACGGGGCACGGGCGGGATGCAGCCTCTTTGGCCTTTGGCTCCGACCTTTTGGCAGGAGTAGGAGCCGCAGACATGGTTAGCGGAAAGGGGTGAGACTAGGCTACACCAGGCTCGTCTCGACACGTTAGCCCGTAAGTAGCTAGGACTAGCAGCGGGTGTTAAATCCGAGCCAGTCGCCGCGGGAGTCAGCTCGTCATGACACGTTAGCTGCACTCCTCTAGCCAATAGAGATTGAAAATGTGACGTCATTCAGGGGTAAAACCGCGAGGTGAAAGTTGCAGACTTTTATCAAGACATTAATTGTTAAGACTCTCACAGCCCTGTACGCATTTCCTGACAGTCTCTTATCTGCAGGTATCTGGAAAAGTTTCTCCCTGGTAGCTTGAAAGAGGCAAAGACACTCTCCCAGTGTTGATTAGTGGTTGTCCTACCTGTTTCCAAAGTCTAAATGTGTTATGTAGAATAGATATGATAGGATAAAGACTTCAAATTAAAGTGTAGTTTAATCTGCTTAAGAATACGTATGGTGCTATGTTTCACCACATTGCTGTCATACATAGGCTGACGAGCTTCCTGCTCCAGTTACAACCATGTAGAGCAGGACTGCCCAACCTTTTTTGCGCCACGGACCAGTTCATGTCCAACAATATTTCCATGGACCGGCCTTTAAGGTGTTGCGGATAAATACAACAAAATTAAACCAGTACCAAAAAAAAGATTTGTTCATAACACAGAGAAAAAGACCCAGTGAAACCAAGGTAACAATAAAAAAGATTACAAAATAACGCGAAAAAACATTTTAAAAACCATGAATTTCACATAAGTAAAGATGAGTGAACTCAATTTTGTAAATATGAATTATGAAGAAATAACGGGAGATTTTGAAATAAATATAACTACTTTGGCAAAATTATCATCTTAATGCCATTATAGAGGGAGCGTGTTTACTGTATACCCAACTGGAGCTCAGATATTAAGGGAGAGAAGTTAGATTTTAATAGCGAGGAATAGCACTTTGTAAGCTGAATACCCAAATACGTGAACTTCTCATAAGCTGTACCGAATGGGAGGTTTTGTAGCCAAGATGAGTTACTCACATGTTACCAGTAGTGGTTTTAGATACGGGTGGTATCGTGGTGGGGGGGCGGCATCACGGACATCGGCAAAAAAAAAAAAAAATGCTCGTACTCGTGCTGTCCCGACGTCAGCCAGCGCATACTGGGAATGGCACAGGCACCGATCGGTTTTCTATCGCCCATTTGCTGGGAGTAAGGGCGCCCTCCGTTTGCGGCGCAGAGAGGAGAGGGCGGGGCGGCGGGGGAGTCTCTGGCTGGCTGGAGCAGCAGCTAATAACCAACTCGCAAAATAAAACAAAATAAAAACAAAACAACAAACACGAAAACACCAGACATCATGATACAGACTTTATAACTACTTTTTGCACCGATGTTTTTTCGAAATTCTGTACGCGAAAAGTGAGCGCGAGAGCCCTCGGTGCACCTGCTCGCTGCTGAAGTCAAAGTAAACTTTATTGTCATCTCCGCTACTTACAGTCCAGGATATAGAGACGAGACGACGAGGCTGCAGCTACAGCAGTGCAAGTAAACAAACAACATATATAAGAAGAGTAAGAAAATAAATATACAGTTTAGGACTCGGGGTAAAGGATCAATAACAATTTAAAATTTACAGTCTGATGATTTAAAGTCTCACACAAGCCGTCGAAAGGGGCGGGGCCTGCTGCTTCCAAATAGAGCACATTTCATTCATAATGTTGTAAATCCAAGCCCATCATGTATTCATGATTTGAATCCTGGGTTGTGTGAAATCCCAGAAATGCACCTTAGACAAAGTGAATCTGTGAACTAAGGTCTGTTAGGTTAAGTTGTGGTGATCCTCGGGTTGAGGGATTTGTGTTCATACTGGAGTGCAAAATTAAAACCAATGGAAGATGGACAAGAAAAGTTCAAAGCCATCAGGTGCTCAGTTTAGAAAAAAGAGAAAAGAAGAGGAGGAGAAACGAGCAAAAGATGCAGGTAAGCAGATGTGTCATTGGATAATGGCAGGTCATCCTGAAACAATCAGAATCAGAATACTTTATTAATCCCTAAGGAAATAATGTGGTTACAGTTGCTCCAAGAAGAAATGGTAAAAATAGCAACAGTAACAGACTAAACTCCAAACAATACATTATGTTACAGATTTTAATATTAATTGTCGGGGGGGGCGGGCTCGACTGTGTAGTCGAGGGCCTCTTTAGGATCGGTAAAGCGTTTCTTCATATTGCATAACACCTAGTATCCATCTGCACTTTGCAAATGCAGTGGGTGAGGGCACCGGGTGAGTCCGAAGAGGCTTCCGGACCTACATCGCTCGCATCATTCCTCTTAGGTTTAGGCTTCACAACTGTTGAAAACCTCTCAAAAAATCTATCCACATTAATTAGCAGGTTATAAATTTGCATGTTTGCGCGTATTCAAAGATTTTTGTTAAGTAATTCTGATGAGCTATCCCACGGCTCACTAGCGCCCCCCTGAGCTCATGCAAGTTCTTTTCTTGTCCTACTCTTTGTTTTTTCTTTTTTCTTCTTGTGTGTTTGTATTTTTGACTGAGAAATGAAATTTTGAGAAACTTGGAGCTTTTTAACCACCTCGGTGTTTTTGTTTTGTTTTTTTCCACAAACCTTTTTTGAAGATTAAAAACTGCAGAGATTTTAGCAAATATATAGTTTTAGGAATGTATTCAGGTTTATGTTGTGGCGAGCTCTGCGCCGTCCTGATGTTTGTGGTTGAATTAACAAGTTTATGTGGTGGTTTGTTTTCAGGTGTTTGTTCACCTGTCCAGTCTGGAGCGAAGTATCCTGTGGTCTCGCTCCATTCTCAACGCCCGCTGTCGCATCTGTAGATGCAAAGGAGATGCAGACAACATGGTGCTATGTGACAGCTGTGACAGAGGACACCACACCCACTGTCTGAGGCCACGCATGAAGGTAGGCACACTACACCGGCACTGTGAGGCACAACTTTGTTTGCAGGTGCACTAACACTGCATGTTTACAGTGCTGCCGTTTTCTTTCATCTAGTATTTTGAATAAATGTGCTACATTCAGAGATCTAATGTTCCTTCCTCCTCCTGTGTACAAATTTCTAGTTTCACATATAAAATGTATGAAGTGTGTGAGCCATGAACCAGCAAGTATTTGGAATTAGAAAACACGTGCTCTCTGTGATTGCAAAACCTGCAGGTTGGGCAGTAAGCAGGTAAATGTTTTTTCCTGCTCCACCCAACCTTCTTGAACTTGCCATGAACAGCACCGTTACCAGGGATGAGTGATCATCGCTATTGTTACTAGTCAGTACCAGATTTACTAGTCCTTCAGTCTATGGCTGCGTTCACTCTGCAGGTCTTGATGCTCAATTCCGATTTTTTGATCAAATCCAATTTTTTTTTGTCTGCTTGTTCACACTACAAATAAAATGCGACAGCAAACGCGCTCTAGTGTGAACGCTCAAAGCGGCCGCATGTGCAAAAGAAGACGTCACACACAGCGCGCTCTGTTCAGACCCAGAGCAAACAGTATGTTTGACTGATGGCCTTAATATAAAGACGTCGGACTTCACGTTTCCCAATTTTTGCTTTAAGTTATTTTGTTATTTACATAATAATGTAAATAACCTAATAATGATCCTCACTGCTGTTTCAGAGGAGCGCTGCTTCAAAGGATAGCTGCAGATTATACAGTACAAATAAAATGTTCACGTTGTCTTCCCAACAGTTTCGCTGGATGGCCAGGAAGCGTTCGCGATGTCTTCTCCGGCGCTGATAATCGGCGTCTGTCTTGTGTCAGTGACGTAAAAGACGGATTTAATGCGACGTGACCATCAAACAGCAGTCGCTTTCTGAAACATCAGATATGTATCAGATTCAGCACCACATACGAAAGTGACCCAGATCGGATTTGAAAATATCGGATTTGTGCCGTTCACACTGTCACACCATGATCGGATAGATGGTCGCACAGGGTCAGAATAATCGGATTTGATGCGCTTTCGCCTGCAGTGTGAACGCAGCCTAATCGATGCCCAATGCCACTAAATTATTGTGTCCTGCATCGTTGTTGAGAAATCCTATAAATCTGTTCATCTAAGCCTCATCCAGTTATTAACACTATTGGAATGAGATCGCGGATACAAGCACCGGAAATTAGCTTTCTCTGAAGGGTGGATGGGCTCTGCCTTAGTGGTAGGGTGAGTTCAGTCATTTGGGAGGGGCTCCAAGTGCAGCAGCTGCTACTCCTCTACGTCGAAAGGAGATGGCTAAGGCTGCCCCCAGCTGTTATGGGAGGAGCATGTCATACTGAGAGGAACCCCCATGTGTAGGCCTTAATACGCTGGAGCAATTACATCTGCCTTTTAAACTCTTTGAAAAGAATGAGCTGTGTGCACAGTTGGATTGTGAGGCAGCTTCAGGCTGAGCACGTGTTTGACATGTTTGAGGGAACCAACCAGCGTGTTTTCACTCAGTCTGTTCCAGAAGGTGAATGGTTTTGTCCAGACTGTCGACCCAAACAGAGATCCAACCGCCTCCCATCCCGTCAGCGCTCGTCTATTGACGAGGAGGAGGAAAGAGACTATGATGATGAGGAAGAGGAGGAGGAAGAGTCTGAAGAGGAGGAGGAGGAGGAATCTGAAGAAGAGTCAGAGGAGGAAGAGGAGGAAGAAGTTGTCGTGAAGTAAGTGTTAAAAATAAATCAATAAATGACCTCGTTCTTCAGGAATGAATCGTTCTGGAGCTTTTCTTTTGAATCTCTGCAGCCCTAAGAAGAGGCAGACTCCACTCCCCAAGGGCAAGAGCCAACAGGCCACACCCAAGAACAGCATCACCACGTCAGGGAAAAACACATCAGCCTCCAAGTGAGTGTCTACCATAGATTGACCTCTTAGGTCATGTAGTCCTGATGGCAGTTTTACAATATTCCCTGACCTTACCTTAATTCCATTTTATTTAGTTGCCTCAAGGCACTTTATTATTGTAGGGTCTTTACTTTATATTATAAAGTAAAGACCCTACAATAATACAGAGAAAATACCAACTTCATATGACCCCCTATGAGCAAGCAGTTTGGTGACAGTGGGAAGGAAAAACTCTTTTAACAGGAAGAAACCTCCAGCAGAACCAGGCTCAAGGAGGGGCGGAGTTAATTAAGTAATTATTGAAGTTAACTCAGAAAGATCAATTGGAGAAAAAGAGTCTAACTTAACATCAATGGTACTAAGAGTAGCTGTAGATAATATTACATCTGTGGGATGATTACTGGTAATTTTTTCTCTAATGATAAAAATTGTATTTGTGAAGAAGTTCATGAAGTCATTACAAGTTAGCGTTAAAGGGATGGTTGGCTCAACAGAGCTCTGACTGTTTGTCAGCCTGGCTACAGAGCTGAAGAGAAACCTGGGGTTGTTCTTATTTTCTTCAATCAGTGATGAATAGTAAGATGTTCTGGCTTTGTGGAGGGCTTTCTTATAAAGCAGCAAACTAAACTTTAGTGCAGTCACAACAAGTCCTGATCTAACTTTACTATTTACTTATGCTAACTGTGAAACTTCATTTTGTGTTAATCTAGATGAGTTTGCTGTGTTTCCAGTCCAACTTTACCGACTCTGTCTAATCACAGATCCTCAGGGAAAAAGCCCATAACCCCTCCGGCCTCTGATGGGAAAATTCCAACCCGCTCCAGGAGTCGGACTGGTGCTCATGTGAGCCATGAGAACGTGGAGCCAAACAGTCACATAAGCAAACGCAGCACCAAAACTTCACCAGCTCAGAGCGAGTCTCGCAAGAGGTCATTAACAGGTAAGCAGCCAGTCAGCAAACAGTAAACACCTGCTGAGGGTGAACTTTAACAACTAACATATAAACATCCACTCAACAATGTGTGCACCAATCAGTAACCAGCCAGTTAACATCAAATAACTCTGACAGGTGAAGACTGTGGTCCAGGCAGGTTTCTGTGCAGTACAGGACCACAGTGGCACCATCCTGATTCTTAGCCAGCAGTATTGGTGCATTTGCTGCTCTGATCTGAGCACACATCGGTCTCTCCCTCTGCTCCTCGTAGAAACCGCCGCTCCTCGTAAACTGTCCAGACCCATCCTGCCTGTCCTTCCCTCGTCACACTCTCCAGGAGCCTCCTCATCGTCCTCTAACCGTCGTTCCTCTGGGAGGAACCAAGGAGTACACGAGCTGTCTGCCTGTGAACAGCTGACAGTGGAGCTAGTCAGACATGAAGACAGCTGGCCCTTCATGAAGCTGGTGTCCAGAACCCAGGTACTGCACCCATGTAGCTGTGTTTTAGTTTTATGTTTAGACCAACAAGAAGTTGATGAAAACGAAGCAGAAATGTTTCTCAGTCCGTATACATCAGAATTAAATTTAGTCATCTTAGTAACAGTTAGATACTTACCTCAAACACAACTTGGTAGGAAAAGCAGACGAGTCAGGTTTAGGAACATGAACTATGGTTCAGGATGGAGGTTTAACACTGAAGATGTTGTGGACCACAGCACTGTGCATCCTTTGTTTTGTGAGGGAAATGGATGCAGCAATATGCAGGTATGCTTTGACAGTACGTTTGGGATCATTGTCATGCTGGGAAATGGAGCAGTTGCCATTTAGACTTTTTCCACAGTAGTAATTAACTTCAGGCCCGGGTCGAGTCCATATTTGATGTCATTGTGTCTGACCACAAACGCAGCCTGTAGCATATTTCTTTACCCGTTACATCTCCATACAGGTTCCAGATTACTATGACATCATTAAGAAGCCGATTGCGCTGAACACCATCAGAGAGAAAGTCAACAACTGTGAATACCAGACTGCAGGTGAGCCACGTGTAGATCACTGCGGTCAGAACATGCGTGCTTCTGTGCAGAATGTGAACATGTGACTCTCATTTCTCTCCATTTGGTGTCTGCAGGCGAGTATATCTCAGATGTGGAGCTGATGTTCTCCAACTGTCTTCAGTATAATCCTCGTCACACTAATGAGGCGAAGGCCGGACATCGACTGCAGCGGTTCTTCCACGCTGAGCTGAGCAGACTTGGCCTATTGGAGCACGGCTCTGCCCTGCCCACCAAACGCTCCCGACACTGAAGCAGACGCACTCCTGTCACCTTCACCGCCGTCCAGGGACTGGAAAGAGGAGACAGATGTAGAAGTTGCAGTTGTTTTGTTCCCGAAGGACTGAAAAGGTGTCAAAATATATTAGCAACCTGTGTGCTCCGTTAAGCAAAGGGATAACGGGGGGCAAAGGTCAGCAGAACCATTAAATTAATGTTAAAAAGAGTTAAAGTTCCATTGTTAAAATGAGCTTTTTTCCACTGCTTCTTACATGAATCTGTTCTGGGAGCTCTGCCCTTCTCATGTGTTGTGCGTTTAAAAGCGTCTCTCTCAAAATTAAATACGTTGCAGCTGCTGTGAGTTCATGGGAAAATTGTGAGCTAGGCTTTGTATGACCTGCTGATCAGGGCATTTATTTCTAATCTATTGGATAGACAGACATGTAGCAGATTGATGGGCACAGACACATTCCTGTGGCACTGTAACGACAGTAGAGTCCCACCTGATTTCACCTGATGTTTCCTTTAATCCAGAAAAGCAAAAACCACTAAATACTCTGGGACTTGAGGCCCTCAGTGTTTTCTCAGGGATTTGTGATTTCAGTGTAAACTGTTTTGGTACAGCTAGTTTTACTGAAGCGGAGCAGCTGCAGGGATTCGGGGCTCAATCGATGGAGGTCTGTGGCCAGCACTATTACAACAGTAAATTGTATTTAAATAGGTTTTCTAGCATGTGAAGTATGACCAGATTGGTTTACAAAGGAACATTTAATAATAGAAAAATAACTGATTAATTCCTCTACATGAAGTTATTTGATGGCATGCACAGCCTGCAGCATGACCCTTGGGGTGACGTGATTGCAGCTTCCATGCACTCAGACTCACTGTGGGGCGTAGAGCTGAATAACTTTAGCTTGGTTTGAACGGAAATGCTTGATTTTTCATTAGGATACAATCAGAACATCATAAAAACTTTTTGGCTAAATTTCATCTAATGATGACACTGAAACAACAGCCTTGTTTTTATTGGGATGTATAAATTTAAAAGACGCAGGTAATATGTACATGTACACCTGTTTATGCTAATTATCAATTCAACCAGACTGTGTTGATTGTGGCTTCCACAGACTTCTGTAATGATCTACTGGGTGAATTTCAAACTGTAACCAATAACATGCAGCTAGTAGTGCAAACCCTTTCATTATATTGCATTGGCAGAGTTATAGATGCAGTTTGAGAGACTATGAAGATGCTTCAACATCTCAGGAACACCTTCCCCCAGCTTAGCATTGAGACTCAAAGGATTCCTTTAAAGCTCCATTCAGACGGGATTCAGTTTAAAGGCGTGGATCTGAGTCTGTCGTGCATTGAGCTACTTGATAACAATTCTCCTTGTTAATCTGACAAAACACAAAAGTCTGATCAGATCTGATCACTAAAGAAGTGCACGATTTGAGCTGGTCCTTTTAAGCTGCAGCTGCCTCTGTGGATTTGTAGTTGTTTGTTTGTTTGTTTGTTTGTTGTTGTTTTTTTGACTACTGAGTTTTTCTACATTAGTTGTTTTGGTTTTGTCAGCATTGTCAATTACATGCTCTGATGATGATGATGATGTCTGCATTGAAGGATGGAGGTCAGCAGTAGACACTACACTGGAGCTGCTGCAGCCTCACTCCTCCCCTCCCCATCTGCTGTGTATTTATTTAGCCTCAGTATTGTCTTTATTTATGACTGCTAGCCTCCCTCTTCCTCCTGAAGCTTTCATCTGTTTGTTGTTCTAATGTAAAAATAAATTGCCTTTTTATAAGCAACTACATCCAATCACATGATCTTTCATCTTGACAGTTGCTTTTGTGAATCTGTTTTCTTACATTATATATTCTTTTTTTTCGTACATTATAATCTGAGGCGATAACTGAAATATTCAACGGTCTTTGTTACTATCAAAATTAATCAGGATCTAAAAAAAAAATGAAAGCCATCATGTAAAGTCCACATTCGAGCGCACAAAAACAGTTTGCAGACTAGTTGGGCAAAGAAGCCTCTGCCACCTATCCTGACCAAGTTCACCTGTGTCTGCCAGTCTTTATCACCACAGTCCTGCACCATGGCTCCTCGCACCCCTCTTCCGATGACCAACTACACTATGATGATCTTTTTCCCTCTGTGGAGAGCAAAACTACTGGTCTTATGGTAGTGTGGATAACATCTGGAACCTGGGGCCTCCTCTTCAGGTCTGCTCTTGGTTTCCATTCTTAGGCTGACTGAAGTAGACTTCAGCTGGTTTTACTGGATACTGCTGGCTTTGCTCCCTCTGCCATAAAGGTTATTGCAGGTGTAGTCTTAGCTGTAAATGGACTTTCCCTGAGCCAGTACGCTGTCCCAATGAGAGATGACAACCCCAACCCCCGTCCCAAAGAAAATATGTAGACTAATAAAAAATTAGTAGTTAATGAAAATAATTTTAACATCTGGATTTTGTGTGTGTAGACCTGATCCAACTTCAACCTTGAATGGTGGTTGTGTGTGTGTGTGTGAGAGAATGTGAGACTGGCTGCAGGAAAACATTTTTTTTTTTAAAGTGTCTCCAGCCTATTATTATACATGATTCTGAAAGAGAGAGATCCTATTAACTTCAAGCGCCTTGAGACAACCTTTGTTGGGGCTATGTAAATAAAATTGAATCGAATTTGTGAGCCGGCTCCCTGCCTTCCTGTATTGGGGTGCCTCGTTGAAGATCCACACTGGTCACATCAGTCTCACAGATACATGAGAAGTACACACACACACCTATATCATATATAGATAGATATGGAGATAGACAGAGAGATAGATATCGAGATATGGAGATCGATAGATAGATAGATAGAGAGATCGATATATAGATAGATATCTAGATATATATAGAGATATATCTCTAGATATAGATATATAGAGATATATCTAGAGATATATAGAGATATATCTAGAGATATATCGAGATATCTAGAGATATATCGAGATATATAGAGATATATCTAGAGATATATAGAGATATATCTAGAGATATATCTAGAGATATATCTAGAGATATATCGAGATATATCTAGAGATATATCGAGATAGATCTAGAGATATATCGAGATAGATCTAGATATATTAGCTCAAACAGCTGCAAAGCCTATTTTTCCCAGCACGGGCGTGTTGAATTCTATAAGAAAGCCATAAATAGGTGTCTGAGTCTTCTATCAAAAATTACAGCTATCTTTATGAAGTTGTAGAAAAACGCTTTATTTCGCCAAGACAGTGCGTTTCTCGCTATTACATGCATTTGAATGGAGTTCTCGCTAAAACTAAGCTGATCTTGTAAAAGTTTACAGTGAAGAAAGAAGTAAACGAAGCTCTTTAAACATTGAATGCGCCTCCACAGCTCTTCCTGATGAGTCTTACGGAGTGACATCGGTCAAGAACCGCCTCTCTTCCTCTTCCACTCCCTTCCAGACTCCCCCCTCCTTTCCTTCTTCTTTGGTCAGCCGGCCACATTCCCCGCTACCTTTCACCCACGAGAAATACCGTTCTGACAGCAAAGCAGTCCGGACAAACCCCGGGACAACATGGTAAGAACCAGCCGAAACGGTCCCGTGTGCTGGGCCGAGGTTCGGAGGAAGCTCTTTGTTTGCGGTGCGGATCCGTGACACGCCGTTATTTGCGTCTTGGCGTGTAGCATGATGTTAGCTAGCATGGCTGCCGCTCCCGTTAATTAGCCGCTCTCTCAGCAGATTATTCGGTGTCTACGTGGTCGAGCCACCTCCGACATCAGGATTTAGTCTACTGACGTCGGTACATTGTCTTTTTTTAGTTTGTGTTCAAAGATTTTTATCAAAATTATCGGCCCGTATTGTGAGTTGGGCCAGGTCGGACCAGACTGGGCCGTGCCTAGCCGCAGGCCGTGTGGCCCGGGGCGGCCATCTTATTCCAGTTGATGTCCTGGTGCGGTGACGGGCCTGAATCCTGCGGGTCCGTGTGAACGTGGTTCGGACCGGATCCGGCCGGCTGGACCTGCTAGATTAAGGTGAATGGGGTCCGGAAGGCCCGACCGAGTCCGAGTGAATGAGACGGACGGTGACTGTGCAGTCTGTATGGCGGCCTGTAGGCTAAGCTGTGGTGCACCAGTCAAACCAGCCGGGGACTTCATGTCACTTCTGATTGTTTTAAAGAGAGCAGTCCTGATTCTCTTTGCTTTATTCTGAATTTATTAATGCATCCGGCGGTTTTCTTCATTGCTGTTATTGTTATTTATAAGCAGCTAATGCAGCAACTAACTTTGTGTAATCTGACTAATATGGATCAGTTGTTTGTGTATGCGCATCGATGTGTTTCTATACCTCGAATATTTTTCATATGAAATGGAAACTCATTCAGTATTTGTGGATGCCGTTCTGTAGGTGCTTTCCTAAGTTGGAAAAGCATCATCATCATATTGCCTACTGCATTTTATCGTTTTCACTTATCACCTCTCGGTCTTCAGAATCCAAAGTCCAAACCAGAGATTGTTTTTATCATCAGTGACTTTGGGTGGAGCTGTCATGCCAGCTGTGGTCATCACCGTCTCCCACTTGTAGTGTTTCCTCAGGTCGTGGGTATCATCCTCCTTTAACATAGAAAGATACACTTAAACATTTGTAAACGTGTGTGTGTGTGGGGGCGCGGTCAGTGCTGCATAGTATAACAAGCAAAAAGTGTTTACATATTTGTCAAAAATGTATCGATCCAGTGATGCCAAATAGTGATATTTTCTTATATGAAATGCAAATATAAATCAAACTCGTTTGTATGAGCAACATCAGTTGCTCTTGCAGTCCACCAGATGGCGCAATTGAGGTTTTCCCCCTTAGTGAGCTCGGCAGAGGTGATGACCACATGTGGGATAACAGAGGCAGAGATGGAAACGCGGAAGGTGTCATTTGTGTTTAAATCAAATTTCTGGACATTTTTTTTAATGAAATGGAAGTGATACATGGGGTCTGCAAGAAGTGTCGTATGAAAATATAGAAATTCTACGAACATCAGGACTCATCTCACGTGTTACACCCAGGGATGGCTTTGCCTTCCTGTGTTAATGTTAACTCTGAATCAGCTCGATCCAAGCCAAGTGCTGGTTGGCTACCTCCCAATTCAGAGCAAGCCAAGAAAATAACACTCTATCTGCAAAGACCTGTGTCTGTACAGCATTGTGGAAAATGCTCCAAA